TAAGAGCGATGGCCTCCAACCTAAGAGCGATGGCCTCCAACCTACTAGCAATGGCCTCCAACCTACGAGCAATGGCCTCCAACCTACGAGCGATGGCCTCCAACCTACTAGCAACCGCCTCCAATCTACTAGCGATGGCCTCCAACCTACTAGCAATGATGGCCTCCAGCCTACGAGCAATGATGGCCTCCAACCTACGAGGGATGGCCTCCAACCTACGAGCGATGGCCTCCAACCTACTAGCGATGGCCTCCAACCTAAGAGAGATGGCCTCCAACCTAAGAGCGATGGCCTCCAACCTAAGAGCGATGGCCCCCAACCTAAGAGCAATGGCCACCAACCTACAAGCGATGGCCTCCAACCTAAGAGCGATGGCCTCCAACCTAAGAGCGATGGCCTCCAACCTAAGAGCACTGGCTTCCAACCTAAGAGCGATGGCCTCCAACCTAAGAGCGATGGCCTCCAACCTACTAGTGATGGCCTCCAACCTAAGGGCATGGCCTCCAACCTAAGAGCGGTGGCTTCCAACCTAAGAGCGATGGCCTCCAACCTAAGGGCGATGGCCTCCAACCCAAGAGCGATGGCCTCCAACCTAAGCGCGATGGCCTCCAACCTAAGAGCGATGGCCTCCAACCTAAGAGGGGTGGCCTCCAACCTAAGAGCGATGGCCTCCAACCTAAGAGCGATGGCCTCCAATCTAAGAACATGACGTGTCCGTGAGGTCTGGGACTTCTCATAGCAGCTCCTAAATATCCTCTGCAGTCTCTCTCGCGTGCAAGACGCGGACGCTCTATTCTGGTTCCATTAGTGTCTCAAACAATCAAATTCGTCAAATTTCTGCGTCTTGTTACTAGTGGCGTTCTTGCTCCTAGTAGTATGGCCAGGAGCCCTTGATAGCATCCTTGCTCCTAGTCCAACAGAGGATGGATCGCCTTTGCAGCAGCAGCAATTGCTCGGCAGGTTGGCCGAAGCATGAGCAGCGCCTGCTTAGGCGTAATTCTCACTTCTAACTAGTCACTTCTCTAACTAGTCACTTCTAACTAGTACAGTAGATTGTACATAGATTGTGGATGCCACTTGACTTGACTTGGTCCGACTCACTGCCTGTGTCAGGTCTAGGTAGGCATAAAGGCTTCCCAGTGATGCTCCGCCGCCCAAGACTTCGTCACAAAAGCTCCTCAAGAGTGAGCCTGAGGACTCCCCTGAGGACCTCAGAACAGAAAATCAGCAATGCAATGGCCGATTCAATAACTAGTAGTAACTAGAAGCTAGTAGAAACACGTGCCACGCTACTAGGAACAGGTGCCTTACTAGTAGTAACTAGAAGCTAGCCTCCACCCTACTAGCGATGGTCTCCACCCTACTAGCGATGGTCTCCACCCTACTAGCGATGGTGGCCCTAGTCTAGTAGCCATGGCCTCCGACCCAAGAGCGAGGGTCTCCACCGTACTAGCGATGGCCTCCCTTAAGGAAAGTTCTATTCACTGTTTCTTTCGAGATGTGTGCTTCTCGTATGTTTGCATGTGACAATACCATGTGCTGCTAACCCCTTGGCCCGTTGAAGCACCAGGGCACGGAGGTGGCACATGGCTGCTGCCACGGAGGAGTTCGAAGATTCCAGAGAAGCAGTCCGGCCTTCACTTTCCAGACACAAGAAACTGACCCAGCCACCCAGCTTGCGGGAACAATAAAAGAAGGGCACAGAATGCCTCGGCAAGAGGCTTTTACAAGCTGCATGAAACTGGTCCATCACTGCCTGGCAACTGCTCATCTCGCTGGAGTGATGGCATTGATCCAGCTCTTGATGTGACCCGTGTACTGTAGAGGGTTCGAGTCTGGACACTTGAAGGTTCTCAAGGTGGACGCCTCCATCCTAAGAGCGATGGCCTCACAAACATCCCGGCCTCCTGGATTTGACTGGCCAAGACCACTGTGAGACATCGCCCCACATGGCTGCAGACGCAAACAAGTAGCTCTTCACAACATCCAGCTCACGCCCAGCCAGCCGGATTCTCTTCAAATGTACCTGTATACGTCATGTTATTATCTACTGCAAGAAGACCACTCTGACCGACACTGACCACTCCATCACGAAATCGTCCAAATCGTAGCTTATTGTTTCTAATAGCTTCTTGTTACTACTAGTAAGGCACCTGTTACTACTAGTAAGGCACTTGTTTCTAATAGTTTTTTTTCTGTTGGGAGTGGTCAGAAACAAGAAGCTATTAGAACTAAAATAATTCTAATAGCTTCTTGTTACTACTAGCAAGGCACTTGTTACTAGAAGCGATGCACTTGTTACTAGTAGAATAGTCCACTTGGAAATACACTTTACCCGAGTTCATGGCTCAACCTCCAGCTTGCTCCTCGAGGCCTGTTTCCCGCTTCAACATTGGGCGCGGCTATCGCATGGTCGACCCTTCTGGTTTCAAATGAATGAATATACCAATCTACTAGCAAAAGAAACTTATATAACAGGAATGGCCTCCAACCCAATAGCGATGGCCTCCACCCTAGTAGCGATGGCCTCCAACCTAGTATGCACATACCGGAGTTGGACCAGACTGGTCCAACGAGCAAGAAGTGCTCGTCACACCTGCTCACGATGTTTTAGGCCAGGGCTAGGGAACTTTCCAGGAGAAATTGAGTCTCTCAGAAGGTGCCAACGACAAAAAACTCACCAAAAGTGTTTGTTTGGGTTCTCTAAACAAAGAACACAACTTATCAATCATGCGTTGGTACAAGGGTCACCTTAGGTCATGGCCGGCTAGGGCAGCCACAAGTGTTTTCATTCAGCTCTTGCAGCAAAAAGGAACGGCATCCATCGGATCGGCCGATCCCATCGGATCGGTGAACCCCTCGACAAGGCTTGCCAGCACGGCCACAGACTGTGGCTGAAAGAACGCCAACGGAGAACGACTCGGAAGGTCTCAAGGAGTCTCAAGGTCAAAATTTAATAAACAACGGAAGAAAGGCTAAAGGTGAAGTTTCCCCCTAAAATCGAGGAACCAAATGATTAGTGCGGAGAGCTATCCTGCGTCCAGTAGGTAGTAGCGTCCTGCACCTCATAGAAGGACTAACTAAGCAATGTCCTCCATCTCCTAACAAAAATATCGAGCCTCCGAGTTCAACTCTTGCAGCTGCGCGTTGAGGCGTGCCTGTGTTGGTTGAAACTAAACGCTTTGAGGCTTGTGGAAAGGCAAACTTGCAAGAACCTGCCTCGCATGACTTGAAATCCTGAATACACGACCCCGTGCTACCATTCTCACTACATGTTCCTTTGACCAGAAGGCGTTTAAATCGACCAAACAAGCAAAGCATCGTCGAGAATCATCACGTCATCAAGTGATCAAATCGTGGGGGGAACTTATGTTTCCCACCAAATGAATAGTGTTCACGCTTCTTCAAGCAAGCTCCCCCGCCCTCAAACGCAGGGAGCTTCCTTGAAGAAGCGCGCGCTATCCTGCGTCCTGTCGGTAGTAGCTTACTTGCAGCTAGTAGCTACCTAGCACCCTCCGCAGCCAACCCCTCCCCGCAGGCAAAAGAGAGGTATATCCCTGCAAGAGACCCCAAACAGTGCGTGTGTGTGTGTGTGTGTCCCACCCTGGACAAAGGGTTTTCCACCACCATTTCTCCACAAGCAGGGGGCAGGAGTGCCATTGCAAGTCTCCTGCCAACGAAGACGCTTGCAAGTGGCAGTGAAACCAGACCTGATCAGTCTGGCGTACCTGCTTTCAACACAATGACTCCACTGGTCCACCCTGCCGCTGTTTCGTTGTTTTCACGGTCCTTCATGCTACCACCCCCAAACAGGTTTCCCACCGCTGCCTTCAGCCGCCGAAGTTCAGCCGCGCTTCTGCAGATGAGTGAACAGATTGTTAAACATTTCAGTTGCGCTGACCTTTCCACCTTGCCGTTCCATCGCCTTCATTCCCATTGAGACAATTGCGTTAACTGAAAATCCAAGTTCGAAGTGTGTCCTGCTCAGCCGTCCCACTCGGGTGCTGAGTGTGATCCCCTTCACAGGGGCGCTGTTTTTTTGCATGGGAAAGCAACCACCCCAACGCTCCACCGATCATTGGAACATCACAGGAAAGCACCGACCCCCTCTTTGAATCAACTGCCATACCGGCCGCCGGGCCAAAAAACGGTTTTTTGACAAATCCCTCAGACTCAGAACTTCTGATTTCCGATTTCGGCATTCAGTTTTCTTTCCATGGCTTCCAATCATGTGCATGTTTATGTGTTTGTTATGTTGCTGCCGCGACTCTCTCATCGACAGCACTCAAGGAAGGGCATTGCAACTCTTCAGCTTAATTCGAGATGCATGAACACACACTTACCAACAAGCTAACGCTTAGCACCACCTTACAACATCCTCACCTCCGACACCAGCGCTGACACCTTCAACAACAACAAGACAATACCACTCGGCATTTCTTCGCTGCCTTTTGCTGCCGCGCCGCGCCGAGCCATAGCTACGGCCACGACATGCATTTTCCGTGGCCCTATGCTCACACCACGCCACCACCACTACCTACCACACAACCTCAACCCACATGGCCGATGCCACAGCCATCAACTGCACCCACCTATCCCTCGACACAACCACCGGCATACCCTCACCTCCAACCACAACCATTTCAACCACAACCGGTTTTATCCGCCCCTACTGCCACCGCACTGACCTACGGCACACCATCCACTTGGACTTTTGTCCCCCCATGTCACGTGCCACCGCAACCCACACATCCAGCTCCAGTGTTTCCGACAGCAGCACCTCCCCCGTCCTACCTGCTGCCACCACATCATCCCACACCACCAGCTGAACTTCCTCCCCCCACTACACTGACACATCCCCCTCCAACACAACAACAGACTGCGATTGCCAATTACCCATCCACAGATCCCCAATGTGCCATCCCCCAGGGCGTTTGGCAACCCTATTCAGCCTTTCCCCCCGTCACACAACCTCCACCCCAACCGGGGCCCCCGCCACCGCCTCCACAAATTACCACTGCCTCAATGACAACCCAACCTCCATTTCAACAGCAGCTACCATCGGATCCACCACCACCGATCCGGCCCATCCCTACGACTGCCCAGGACAATCCATTACCAGTCCAAAACACACCGGCCACCGTATCCCAACATTCAGCATCCCCCTCGCTGATCTCTGCCACACCAGCACCGGGACCTTCAATACCAGCACCAGACAAACCTGACACCACGGCCTCACCAGCACCACAACCACCTTCCCCACAACCACCACACAGCAGTCGCCGCCAACATCACAAGAGCCGACGCAAGTCCGACCATCACCACAGAGGACGCCACCGCCACCGCCGCCGACATCGCCATCACCACCATTCCAAACACCACAGCAAAACCAGGCGACGGCGTTCGCCTTCCACATCCACCTACACATCTCGCCTCACACCATCCCGCAGTCGATCCCCACCACAACCCATTGATCTACGCCCAAACACCGAACACGCGAACCCTGATCCTTCTCAATATCCCACCACAGCCGTCATCCGTCGCCCACTCAACCGTTGGCGACCTCCACCCAACTTTCACACCCTCACACCCGCAGACCAAATCCTGGAATGGCTCGAATTCCACGCCACCCAACTCGACAATCCCAACAGACCACAACACCAGTACATTGCCAATATCCTCACAGACTGCAACATCTCCTACAAGGAGATCAACGATTTCCGACAATACACCCACGCTAAGTGGAACGACACAACTCACCAATACGACCAATTCCAGTACTATGCCATTTCACTTCCCTTCCTCAACACCAAAGCCACTACACCCGAGCCACCTGCGGTTTCCCGCGCCACATCAACCCACCGAGAAGTTGCCCACATCAACGCAGGCCACACAGGCCCCGTCGGCAACATTTCCAACATTCTACGCCAAGGCCGTTTTCTACCCAGCACACTCCACTTTGCCAACTACCCTGGATTTTTTGCCCAGGGCGTTCGCATCACCCACAACCAACCCCATGACCACAACGAACTTGCCCGCATCATCCACAACACCTGGCAACTCCACAAGAACTCCCATTCCCTTATCATCACACTCCTTGCTTGGGGCGCCGCCACAAAGTATACCTCTGGAGGTGAGGAACACGCCATGAACCTCCTTAACGACCACCATGGTGCGGTCTTTCATCAGAAGGGCCGCTGCTGGGTGATCCACCCGGACCACGCCATTGTCAAAGGACTGGCCTGGTCCACCAACTCCACCCCACCGGACCCATAACGCCACTGCCACACATCCACACATTACTACCACCTCCACATCCACTTTTGGTCTCACACCACCACCCAACCTTTGCTGTAGCAGCAAAAAAGAGCCTCTTGCAGCAGCCACGGGCATTTTGAACCCTTCATTTTTCTAGCTCCGCAGTATTTGCTGAGAATCTTTTGAATTGTATCGGCTGTTTTGCAGGAGTCTTTCACATGTTAGTTTCTGCATCGTGGAGAGTGATTCTTTAAGCCACGTACTCGATTGTCCAATTTGCATTGCTTACTCACCCTTTTGCCTGTGGGAATTTGATGCTCGCTTAATTCATACGCACGGCCTCGGAATGATGTGCTTCCTCAGACTCGCCGCTTTCCGGCTGCTTTGGCGCGCTGCCGCAGCAACCTGTGACGATTCTTGACTACTGCACACCCCTACATCTCAGCCCCATGAGCAGCAAGCTGACACCTCTACAAAACGACACCGCAACTC